GCAGGGCGGCGGAGGGCGCCCCTGGCCTGCCCCTGCTGCCGAGCGCGCGACTTGCGCCCGCCCCAGAAAGCGCCGCTTGCGCCCGAGGGGCCCCGCGGCGCCTGGGCGCAGGGCGCGCGCAGCTGGTGCGCGCCGGGCTTCCCCGCCGCCCGTGCAGGAGGGGTGCTCTGGTCACCGCCTTGCCCCCGCGCGTGTTCTCCGTGGCCCGGGCAAGGGGACAAGCTTAGAACGGGCCCGGTCCGCTGCCGCAGCTGCGAGGAGGCAGAGCGAGCGGCCGCGGCGCCGGCGCTTCGCCTGCTCACCTGCGGAAAGGTGGGTCCCGGCGGGCGTGGCCGCCGCTTCCAGGATCAACCCTGGGCGACGCCGGCAGGTGCGCTGCCTCCTCGACCTGCCGCGCGCGACACATGAGCGATGGCTGCGTCAGAGGGGCTCGCCTGGGCTCCCCCTGCTTGCCGGGACAGTTTGCCTTCTGGCTCACCCCCTCCTCTGGGCTGGGTCAGTCTGGCAGGTCTCCCCAGCAGTGGGCTCGGGGCTGCCCCATTGCCCCGGGGCTCGTTTTGCACCGCTGCACCAAGCACAGAGCACCGTTGACCGAGGGCGGGAGCGACTGACTACCCGTTGGCACAGCTGTGATTTCCTGGTGCAGGTCAGGATTGGGTCCAGCTCTGCTACATTGCCTGGGAAGAGGGGCGGCGAGATGCCGTTGCGCGCGCGCACACTCCCCCTGTGGCCAACGCCCAGGCCCCAACCTGGACCGTGACCCTGCATGTCGTCTCTGGTCCTGCTGCAGCTCCACTTGTTCTCCGCCGTGTGCCTGAGCCAGGGGCCGCCACTGCAGACCCTCTTCTGCCAATCTCAACTTCCCTTGTTTGTTCTACACGAAAAGAACGCCCCGTCCTCTTCACCTGTAGTCAAGGCCTCTGCTCCCTCCTTCCAGTGCGTGCAGAGAACGAACATGCTGGCAATGGCTGGCTGAGGCAGACACACCTTGGCTCTGCCAACCACACAGGCAACTCCTTCACCTTTGGCCGCCAGGTGTTTGCTGCTGCGAAGGGCCACTCCGAGGCCCCACTGCTGGTCACCTGCTTCTCCCCCACGGCTGGTTCCCTGGCCCCATGGATTTCTCTGTGTCCAGTGCTTTAAGTGAAGGGTTTCACTTGTTGCAGGCAAATACAGAGAAACCTCAATCTGAGGGACAAGCGCAGTTTCTTTTGATGTAACTGTTCTGAGAGCTTAGTTAGCAGTGAATGTGAAAGAATAGTAAATAATAAGGCATAATTTTCCCTAAATACCAGCAGATGAGTAAATTGTGGTTTCAAGATAATTGTATCATTTTTTTAAACTCCAAGAGAATATGGCAATGCTCACATTTTATCACTGTAAATTGTATATGACAGGCCAGCCAGGAGAAGAGAGGATTTAGATGTGCCTGTGGAGAGCACACAAGGCAGGAGGAGGCACGAGCCAAGGTAGGCGCTCTGCTCCAGGGAATTTACCTGGCCAAGAATTCCAGAGCAGGAGGTAAGAAGGCAAGGCCCTCACAGATGAGCTGGGATCCATGCTATCAAGCTAACACCATCTTGACTAACTCAGCATGTCTCAAATACAAAACAAGAATTGCAAGTATGTGCCAAACCAGTAACTGGAGCGCAGGAATCTCATTCCACATCGCAAAATGGGCAGCAATTACTCGTACATGCAGCAGCTAGCTTTCAGTGGTCTTTTCGTAAAAGAAAGGCTAAGGAATGGAGAGCCCCAGAGAATTCTGAATGGACGAACTGGGCCCACTTTTTGTCTAGGTTTCCCTCGATTCTGCTTCCGGGGAAATCCCAGTTGCTCTCTGTGTACGCCAGCTACCTTTCCTGTGCTTCCGTGCAGAAACAAGGCTGCTGTCAAAGAGCTGCACTAGGCATTTACTCTACTTTAGGGAGGAAGCTCAAGCTACGCCAAATCCCTTTTGCCCTTTCCACACCGATTTATATTGTCTGGTAAGGGAGCAGGCTAAGCTGCACCGACCGCCTTACAGGCCCGTTTCTGTGACAGAAGGGACTGAAATTCATCTTGATACTGGCAGTGAAATAGCAAGAGTTTTGTGGGCCAAGCAGAGGGCTGCAAAATGAGAAGGGAGTCTCTGAGCGAAGACTGCACAGCTGGAAGGAGGAAGAAAACAAGGGACATGAAGGAAGCTTGCTGGACACAGAAGGGGAATTAAGACAGGGTGTAAACAGAGTCCGCTGAAGAAACCTGGTCTTATGGACCAGATGGGGACCACTAGGACAGTGGGCCTCAAAGACAATGAGGCCAGAAGAAATGGGCTGAAAAGCAGGACCTGAAATGCAAAGGAAAGGCAGAGAAGCCACTTTGAATTGCACTAACCAGCTGGTTCTTCGGACTCTTAATGCCAGGCCAAACTTGGCATCCATGGGATGAACAGTGTGGCGAGGACGTGTGCCTGGTGGTATTGATTTGGCCTCACTAACTTTGCCTCCTACGGAAACAGCAGGGGAGTCTAGAGCAACAGCAGGAATGCCCACTCGTTCAGCAGAGGGCGATGTTGCCTGCGAAATGCAGGGACAGCCTGGACAGGGCTCTGCTTTCTTGAAGCTCTGGGCCAGAAGAGCAGAGCAACACTTAAATCTTGACGATGGCAAGTGAGAGACGAGGCCCTGTTCTGAGTGAGGACACCTTCAGAGCTCTCTTCAATTTGACACATGTGAATTGGCAGCAATCTCACAACAGTGAGCAACGAGGCCCTGTTCTGAGTGAGGACACCTTCAGAGCTCTCTTCAATTTGACACACGTGAATTGGCAGCAATCTCACAGCGCGTGAGCATTTCAGACCTGGTTCAGTGGCACGTCCAGCAATAAAAGGCATCGACAGACCAAGTAAGAAAGCCCATGCGCAAACAAGTCTGGGGAAAGAAGAACAGACAGTTACTCTGCTTACCCACAATTGTTTAATGAACAGTTCATCTTTGCGATTGGCTTTGCCAGAGCAGCACAGAGTGTCTTTCCAACAGGCTGAGAATGTATCCTGCCAAAAGCAGTTCTATTTCTTCCTGGGTTCTGCACTGATTCTGTGCTCTACATAGTGCTGGGATCTTCGCAGTCATGGAACTTACTTTCTTGTGTACAGGAATCAGTCCAATCGGGGGAATAAGCAAGCATTGGTGAGATGCCTGCACCACATCTGAGTATATGGAAGAAGTCAGCACAGCGGCCAAAGTGCTACCTTTATTTGAAAGAACATTGGTTTTGCGCACTTCAAACACTGAACATTACAATTTTTTTCACTGGTGTAAAATACATATTGTTAGATCTGAAAGGCGACTCTGCTAAGCTGATGGAGAGAAAGGAAAGGAAAAACAGGACGCAGTCCTCCTGGAACCTCTGGTGTGCATGCCTTGTGGGAATGAATTCCCATTTTCTTCTTTAGGACTTGTGGGAGAGAAGTTCTCAGTGTACTGTGCTGTTTGTTCCTACATGAGGCAGAAACCTTGATAGCTGCTTAAACATTTGACTTGGTCACCTGCTCTCTTTTCAGGCCAACATAACTTTTTTTTACTCAAAGCTCTTCTAAGAGGCAAGTAAGGTAACTCCAGAAAAAGCAGTTTAGCAAAACATTTGTCCATACGCCTTTAAGAGCATAGCAGCCTTCAACAGCTGCCCCATGGAGCTGCGTCCTCACCTCCTGGGGCAGCTAGCAATCACCCAACTTCTCCATTCATTACAATATAAATCTTAAATTACTTGTTTTTTAAAAAAATATTACTAATATAGATTTCCCATCTTAAAATGCCTTATACATTTACAGTACTTGTAAATATTTCAGTTCTGGGTTGATGAAGTTTAAAAGGGGGGGGTGGGGAGAAACAGGATGTCTTGGACAGTTCAACTTGGGTTCAACACACAGCAAATCTCCGACACGGAAGGAGCCGGAATTGGTAGATTCATAGTGCAAATTTGAAGAGAGGGAAAAGAGGAGAGAGAGGTAACAAACTGAACAACTGCACTCCGTTAGTCTGTCAAATGGAAATGAACGAGACAAGATCCCACACTGTACATGCAATAAGTTATAGCAAGCAATGACAAGAAGGGTGGAGCACCCCACAAGGAGCGCTGGTGACGAGCGCCGGCAGCAGTGGAAAATGGATGTCAGCTTCGGGAGCCCACGGCAGCAGTGCCGAGAACAGTGCCGTCAAGCCTTGTATTTCTGCTTCCCAGTCTCACTTATTACACAAATGTGCTGAAACACAAAAAGTAAAACACTATGCAGATTAGAAGCCTAACAGCGAGGAGAGCCACATTCCGCAGATGCTTCTCCCAAGTGGCGGCGACCAGCGGCAGGAATGGAGCCAAGGGTGAACTGGGCACCCTGGCGCTTGCTGTGTGCTTTGGGAAAAGGTGGACGGGATCCAGCTGACAGGGACTGGAGGAAGAGCTACGCCCGCACCTGGCCCATGCACGGGGGTTGGGGGGACAGCCCCCGAGCTCTGCAGGGTCCTCCCGTGCACCCCTGCTCCCCTGTAAGGGAACAAGGGCAGCATTCACCCCACCGCCCCCGCGAAGCTCGATGCCCATCACAAGGTGTGGTGACAGCTCTGCAAGGGGGTCAGACCAGAAGGCTCTATGGCCCCCAGCTAGGACATGGCTGCCCTGCTTTAGAGGCAAGCCTTCAGCTGGGGGGCAACCACGACGAACGGCTGATGCCCTGAGCTGCTCCTGGGGGGCTGCCCAGAAAAAGCTGCAGACCACCGAGCTGGCTGGACCCGCCATCTGGTGCCGCAGGGATCATCTGGGACGCTTCACCATACAAACTGAATTTGGAGCTGTCGCCACTGTGCACCTATTACAAGGGAGCCCAAGAGCCACTCCTGAGCAGCACCAGCATTGGTCTGCCAGGATGCAGGTTACCAAGGACTGGGGGTACTCACTGTCCCCACCTGGTCTCTCTGTGGTTCCTAAGGTTGTTTCCCCTTCCCAGCTCCTTTCCCAGGAAGCTGCTTTGCAGCAGGCTCTGCCCACCTCTCCTGGGAAACAGCCTGTTAAGTGGCATGGCCAGGCAGGATGGACGAAACCCCGCACTGGTGTCAGAGAAGCAGGGCTGGTGGAGAGTCAAAATGGGCCGTGGAATTTTGGCTGTTTTCTCTCCTCCACTGTGAGAGTCTGATCTTGTGGAAACCCTTGCCTTCCTCCCTTCCCTTCCCATATCACTGCCCCACTAAAAGAAGAAAAGGAGCTGTTAGTGCTTGGAATTGCAGTTCAAGAGGCAGTAGGGAAAAGAGGAAGAACCAGGGATTCCTTTTCTTCAGTGTTCGAACTAGAATACCTTTCTTAATTACTTACATTCAAATCTCTGAAGTATTCGTTATAATCTAAAGCATATCCCACCACAAACTTGTCTGGCACTTCAAATCCAACAACTGAAAAGAAGCAGAATTTATCAAGATGGCGAATTATGGCAACCTTGACAGAGCCATGTTACAACGTTTGTGATATTTAATGAACTGTTCTAGTCATCAGCTGATAATGCCACATCAAACTTATACCTACTTATACCTCTTAAAAATATACAACAAACAGTGTTACAAATCCAGTACCTAAAATGGACAGTTTGTTTTAATAAAGGAAAATGCTGTATTGGTTACATTTATCTCCAAGCAGCCCAAATGGCATACATGCTGTGCGCAAGAGGGGAATGATGGGCTCCCCATAAATGGGACCCCCCACACTAATAGCTATCAGATGACCCAAAGGGCTTAATTTAGGCTGCAATTTGAAGCGCAAGAGTCAGTCTCAGGGAAGCAGGCCTACGTTTGCACTGCTACACCACACCAGCGTTTCAGTCCTTTGGGAGGTCTTTACTTAAGCACACAGCAAACAATTGTATTTTACCAAGTACAGTCAGCATGGATACAAGCCAGGTGTCATTTTATAAAATTCCTGGTGTTCATTATGGCAACAGCTGCTTTCAGACAAATTTGTCTCTCTTTCTTCTCCCCTCCCTACAATTCCCCAAATGCGGGGAGCATGGGGAAAGCCAGCCACAATGCTTTTATGATTCTATTTAAAGTGCAGTAAATGCTTGTAAAAGTTCCACTTACAGTCCGGCCGGTATCCTACACTTCGAGGTGTTCGTTTGACTAACAAGCTGTAAAAAGAAGCCGAGGAAACAGGTATTGAAGTGCAGGTAGAATTCAACATGCTACGTGCATCCTACACTGGAAGTCCACGAACTCCTGTCCTCGCCCACCAAGAACACATCACAGTGTAAACAGCAAATCAAGAGTCAAAGAGGTATAGAAAGAAGTCTCTAAGTTCTAAGTAAAAGTAAAGGCTGCTGCTTGACTGAGGGTATGTGAGGAGGAGTTGTGCCAGCACTGGAATGTCTCTCCGCCTTCTTCAGTGGTGAAGGGGGGGATATGGGGCAGGTAACATGCCCAATGTGAAAACTGTGTAGCAGTGAGGGGAGGATCTTACCTCCCCCGCTTGGCTAAGGACTCCCTCCTTCCCTGCATCTCTGTTGTACAGCTATAAGCAAACTGCGGGCAGTGAAAGACGCTGGCTCAGGGGCAGCGAGTCCGCCTGGTTTGTTTTCGGCACCGTTGCCTCAAGGTCGCACCAAAATGACCACGCACAAGACGCTCCCTCAGTTGCCTCTGGCAGAACTGTTTAGAGGTGTTATGGCAACGGAAAATAGTGAACCGCTTCTCTGTCCTCTATCTGCCTCTGGTGCTTCTCGTATTTCACACCTTTATTGCTACAAGCGATCAATAAAATGCACGGATTGGCTTGTTGGTTAATCTAGACAAATACGCAAGCAACTTTCTGTATGCTTTTGTGCTTAAGAGATTGCGTTTCACTTGAGCAGGCCGTCCTCTGCTCAACAAGGGTTTGAGCAACATCCCCAGATTCTGAGGAAACCTCCTCAGAAATAGTTATTCCAGGCCCCTGAAGAGGCTGCTCCGTGGATATACATCTACCTCCACCCCCTCAGTTTCCTCTGCCTTTCTCAGTCACAGACAACTGTAATCTGTCAGAAATATAAAAGCTCTGGGACCACTGAAGTCTTAACTACTTTGCTTTAATCCAGCAGCCTAAAAAGCAAGTCGTACTTGGAAGCCAACAGTGGAGTTTGTTAAGGAAAGCAGAGTCATCTGGCGAGACATGTGAAAAAGGCTAATTGATTTTATTTACCGAGCGGGAAAGAGACTGCTTGCAGAGGAACGCTGAAACTCCGCCTAGCACAAGTATAAGATGCAAATACTTAGAAGAGTATACACTGCAGTGTGGCACTCCTATTTAGATTGAAAAACGAACTGGCTTCTGAATGCAAATACGTCTTTTACAAAAACAAGACCCAATGTCAGAAGTGGAGGAAACTGATGGGTGAACAACAGATGCCCTCATCTTAGATTCCTTAACCCTCCTAGGCATAACTGGTTTCAGACTGTTCAAAAAAAGATGTGCAAACATTCTCCTGCACGAATCCTTGAAAAAGCAAAGATCGCAAAGCAAGAGAGAGGAAAAGGTACCTGGCCACTTTCACCATCTTTGGGTTGTACTGCTTCAGCAGAGACAGCAAAGTCTTCATTGTCTTGCCAGTGTCTATTATATCCTGTTGAAAACAAAGCACCTTGAAAGGAGGTTACAGCACAGGAGCTCCTTCGGACTACAATTGGCAGGAGCGGCCATAGGAGTTAGAATAAAATGAATGCTCATTTGGTGTACGTTTGTGTTTGGCAGTAAATATAAACAAGGGCTAGGATTTGCAAATTGATACACTCTCAAATGCATACCAAACACAATCCCTTTATATGGCTTTCCCAAAAGCAAAAGCATTCTTGTGTAAAATATTGGAAGTGCCAGTCACAATGAAATTAAGCAGAATCTGTCCAACAACCCACTCTTGGTGGGAAGCAGTGAGCGAGTTTAAAATGTGGAGGCTGGTAGTTGAGTGTCTGGAATCACTTTTCTTGGGAGAGAATTCTAGCCCACCCTGCTGACTCTCAATAAGATGCTAAGGGACAGTTATGGTTCTGGGCCAAAATGGGTGCCTTGCATTTCGTGACACAGGGATTTCTTCATTGTCGTTGCTCCCAACCTCACCCCGGACCATACAATGTAAATGCAAATTACTGTACTTACTTCTACGATCAAGACATTCTAGAAGAGAAAAATATATACATATGAGTAACTTGAGGGCAAACTTCACTTCCAATTTATATGTATCCAAAGCTTATCAGGATTTCTATCTTCATTCCACATTCCCCTAATTCACCAGCATTCAAATATAGGCGGATGCCTCATCTCTGAACAAATTGCATCAAATGGTCACAAGTGTGCCTCGTGGTTAAATTACTCAAGTTTCTAGAGCTCATTAGTACATTATTTAGGGCTTGAAAATTTATTATGGTTCAAAAATAAACTAATCCTGATGTAGTAACAATGAGAATTTCAGAACCAATGACTGAAGAAAAGTGTTGGGACCAAATTAAACAAATTACATGTGGCATTCTCATGTTTTTAATTAGTTTATATTTTTGAGCTAGTTTAAGCACTTGCTCATGAACAAGTGGGGTCTGAAGAGCAACTTTAAAAACAACTAGTACCACACTGGAACTGGAGCACTTTGCCCTACTCTTGAGAATGTAAGGAGGAGAGGAATTTAAAGCGGAACCCAGCCATCTGAACTGTGATGCCTGTACATCTATACAAGAGAGGCACATAATGCCGGAAGGAAGCTGGTGCAAGGCCCGGGTCCAGACACCTGCACACCGTATGTGCAGTCATGTGCAGGGAACACTGGCAGACCAGCCGTGGGCGCCAGAGGTGCTGCTATCAGCTGCAGGCAAGCTGAAGGAAGGAACCAAAGCAAATCCAAACAATGTCCTGTAAGCAGCTTCTCGGCACATGGCTGGAAAATTTGACAATGGGAGTGCAGCCAAGTGATCCACTCCTATGGCGCATGTTTAACAGAACAAGCATTGCGCAATAAAAAATCTGCCTGCTTAATAGAGTTAATAGTGGGTTAAGATCCAGAAAGTGGGGAAATGGGGAACTGGAGTCCGAGGATGCCTTCACGGACATGCTGAGGTCAACGATGAAGCTGTGGAATGCCCGACACCAGGCTTGCTGACCCTTATGCTGGACACACCCACACTCTCCTGGGTCCTTCAGGCCCAAATCCAGACTGAGAGGATGGTGTGCCCAGGACGGGAATTTGTCCTGGTCCCATCTGGCCTTAGGTGACACCTAACCCTGATGGGGTCGGGAGGGAGAGTCCCTCGGGGCTGACCTATATCTGTTGGCTTCTTTCCAAGCAAGCGCTCGAGCCCAACGTTCCACTTCCAGTGGTGGGCAATAAACAGTTTTGAAATCTTGCCCCCATGCTACTTTTGATCCTCCACCCCTTTACAGCAATGCGGCCCCCAGAAGCTTCTCTACCACCGCATTCAATCCTCGGGCTGAAAGAGCTTCTGGGCCCGGTTCTAGGTGCTTAAAAGCAGGGCAGGCAGGCAGAGTGCCGCTCCTGCGTTTGACTCCAGTCCCTGCTATTCAGGGCTATAGTGCATCCATATACCAGCGTGCCTTTTAACCATTACAGCTAATAGGAAATGATGGATTTAATGTCTCTAGTTTTGCCTTTGTTATGTACAAATGGCAGGTGCTGTCACCACTTTTTTGCGTTGCAAGTGCTAGATAATAACACAATTTTGTTTCCCGCTGGGACAAAAACAATGCAAAGACTGTGTTGAAGCAAAACAAAGCCAGGAAGAAGGCAGCCATGGACTACTGGGCCTCACCTTATTGCAAAATGCTTTCACCTTAATTATATTTCATTATCTGCGTTTGGTTACAGCCTTGTTTTGAGCTAAGATAATTAGTGCTGAAAAATATGGTAACTTATAAAAGCGCTTCTACTTTTATAAGTTCTATTCTACCTTTTACACTTGTATATCTTTCTGTAGGACTTACCTTCCCAGTCAAGGTTGAGAGGTCATCCCCACCAATTACTTTTATATCGCCTGTTGACTGGTCATTCTAAAGTTAGACAGGAAAGAAAAACTGTTATTCATAATGGATAGGGACCCCTTTGGGGAGTGAAAATATTTAGAAGTCTATGAACCCATACTGATATTTTCAACTGTAGAGGAGTAAATTTTGCTTCTATTTACAAGGAGAAAAAGAAAGACAGGGGTGTATCCTGCACATAATTTTTTGTCACTTCTTTTTCCTTCCTCTGCTTGACTAACAACAGAATCATACACATTTCTACTCAAAAAAAGTCACACTGACTTCACTCAGATTTGCACCTGGGTCAGGTTGTTTAGGGTTGCATTCCAAACCTCTCAGAAATGAACCGGCCAAAGTATATGGCCATAAGAAACTGCCTTGTGCGGAGCCAGTCCCTTGGTCCATTTGCCCCAGTACTGTGGACACGGACTGGCAGCTACTGCCACCCAGGACCTCAGGCAAATGCCATTTCCAGCAATACCTGGAGATGCCTGGGATGGGAATCTTCCACATGCAAAACTCGTGCCCCACCACTGAACTGCAGCCCCTGCTCCTGGATACAGGAGATACAGAGCTGAGAGGTGATGTTTCTCGTACTTCAAAAAGGTCTCCTACAACAAGTCAGGGCAACAAAGAGAGTCTGGGACATACTAGGGAACAGGTTGCCAGGAAAGGAAGCAGTAGTTAGATCTTTCCATTACCCTTACATATGAAGGCACATCTTGCATAGTATGCCCAAGAACAAAACTGCTGCTGCTGCATATTCTCACACTGCACAAGATGTATCCCCATATCCTCCTTTTTTTCTTATTCCTGTAATCACTATTTATACACTGGTTTATCTGCTAAGAGCAATAAAGGTGGTATATAACAATTTAAGACAATAAAATCCTGCAACAATAGTAACAAGAACACTAAACCCATTAAGAACTACACATTATAAAAGGCTAACTGAAAAGAGACGTTTCTACACCTTTTCTAAGGGCCAAGATGGTAGGCTCCTGAATGGGTTTGTGGTTCTTGAGGGAGTCCATTGGGGGCTGCACAGGAGAAAGCTCTTTCCTGCAGACCTTAACATTTAGGGAGCTTAATGATGAGACAGCCCATGCCTTATATAGCCTAAATATGAAAAAATTTGGAAGTTGCCCAGCCCCTCCAATTCACCCACCCATTGCCACCTGTGTGTGCCACACTTCCCCACTTGGGGAGTACACTGTTCAAAGAAACAAGCGGCTCATCATACAAGCACTCTTGCTTTTCCCCATAACCTGGGGAAACTAGGCTTGCCTCAAAAACTAGGTGTCTCTGTTTCCTATGTTAAAAATAGGAAAAAGAAATCAGATTAATCCCTCATGGAGCATCAATCCTCAATTTCGTAAGTCCCACTAATGCCAGCCTTCTAAACTCTGTAAACAATTTGAGATAATGCAAGCAAATTATGGAATTATGTTTCCAATTTAGTTGTTTCCATATACTTTCCTGCTCGTTGTATATTCTAATCAGGCCCATAGATAAGGAAGAAAAGAGAATCCCAGAGGTACAACACCCAAATCACAGAAATAATGTATTTCAGATGTTGCTCTGTAGAACTTTTCTTCCATGAGTGAAAAAGTTAAAGCTTCAAGTATTATCTGCTTCCAATAGTAAATGTTATAGAGAGGAATCATCAACACCCTTTCCCCTGACTTAAGTAGCAGAAATCTTTCTTGTTTGAAAAAGGGGATCAAAAGACTAAAGCAAATCAAAGTTCATCATGTTCCAAGGGAGCAGAATCATCTTCCTGCCTGCGATGCACTTGACATCAGTGAACGTTCTTCTGCAAAGCTTCTGTTACGCAGCTAGACTTTAACGGGCCTGAATGCTTCTGAATTAACGACTTCCAGAAAAGCACTAGTGGGCATGCTCCTCTAACACCTGCAGTGGGGCACTGCTGCAGCCAATCATGACTTCCTAGTATGCACCCATGTTTTGGTGAATGTGCCACTGTATGGGATGCTCTTGGTACCTTGTATGAAGCAGGCCTGGAAGTCGCATCAGAAATCCAAGGCTTTAAAATCCTAGCTTTTTCTCAACTCTTTAGACTTTGAATCCAGATTATTTTCTTAATTTAAAGGAGTGCCTACAAACTACCTTATCCTGGTTCTGGACAAACCAGCCAGCCTTTCACCAGAGAAGCAACTTCTTCTAACCTATTTGTATACCTTATTGGGTGATGCTATCAAGTTAACTTAAATCGGTATTCTCAAATTGTGCTTGTATGATTGAATTTATCAGCTGCTTTTCTCAGAAGAACCAAGGCATCTTTCAGCAAGGGTTAAAACATACAAAGTTTAAAACAATTTAAAGCAGACAGAAACAATTAACACCAAAATACTAAAACCAGTATTTGGGAGGCTGAACAGTACTAAGAGCCACGCAAGTCTTCACAAATTTAGTGTATTTGGCTCCATAAACAGCACGGCGGGAGAGATTCCCCTCTGCTCATCGCTCTAAGTTCTGGAGCAACCACCTTGTTGCAGATGCTACAGCTCCTCTTCGGCTACCTGCTCAAGCATTTGCGGCTGCACTAAGGCAAACGCAAGCAAAAACTGTGCCAAAGTTCAGCACACGGTGAGGCACCTTGCTCCACCCACGGGCAGGAGAGGGATCGGTGGCCGGAAAGTGTTGCTGGCCAGGAAGCCAAGCCAAGAGTTGGGTGCTTCTCCAGATGCACTTACACAGTAGCTCTTCAGCCTGATGAAGTCAACAGTCATAGGGATAGACTTGTCGCTATTTCGGTTCAAGGCTTTGATATAATCCAGCAAGTCGGCAAAGAATTTGTAGCCCCCCTTGAGCACGCAGAGGGCCACAATGTGATGCCCTCCCATACTCTTCATAATTTCTCGTGCCAGCCTTTCTGTCCTGTGGAAAGAGAGAGACACACACACAACCTAATCTGCTGTACAAGGCCCGGTGTCGAGAAGCGTTATTGTTAATATTATTAGCAGCAACAGTATCAACAACATGCTTAGTGCATGACTAATATTGAGACTTGCGCTCAATCTTAGGAAACAAACATGCCAAGATAAAGCAAGCAGTACCTCCTCACCCAGGAGAGTATCTACCTCTCCTCTGACAGTGTATGGAACTATTTGCTGATCAGTGGCATTTCTGCTTTTTCTCACTTGTCAAGGTTACTCTAATAACAGGGCTGCCAAGCTCCCTTGATTTTATTGAGTAGCTTGTGCCAAAGCAAATCTGAGTTTCTACCTAGGTACTGGACAACTTGCAACAGATATGAAGCATGAAGATTGTGAGATTCTGTTTCTCAAGCATACGGCAGCTGTTACTTGAGAGCCAAGGCATTGGTAAGACATCCCAGGAAGTCAGAAACAAGACAGCAGGGAACAGAAGATCACTGGCAATTTAGAAGTCCTGCTTCTAAGATAATGCAAACTAAACTGCCAGTGAGATGAACTTTCTATATATGTTATATTGCACAGATGGACTTAGTTTACAGTGCTTCCTTGAATTCATTTTCTCATTAATTTATACAGACTGCCCTCAGGTTTAAGACTCAGCTTGCTTGTTTTATAATCACCAGTCCCACATTTAGCAAGAGAGATAGTCCATTGGGAAAAATGGCTGTTATGGTTAGTTCACTGTGTTAGTTCATCAGTTACTTCTGGTTAGTTCACTGGGAAAAATGGCTGTACAGCTGCAAATGGTGTATTATGGATTTGAAAAGTTACATAACTGCCTAGAAACTATCACAGGAAGAAGCATTAAAAAGTGATATCTGGCCCCTTTTCTAGATAAAAATATAATGCCTGTTATTTTTAGCAGAAACACAAATTACAGAATCTGTCTCGCATGTATCAAAAACTGCTACTGTTTTTTAGAGGTGCGATGATCTAGGATACAACCTGGCAGGAACTGTGCTCATCTCAGAACATCATTCGCATTCTTCATCTTCAGCTTATACTGTCTACAGAGTGAATTCTTATGTATTTATATAGTTATTTATTTGTATTGGAAGCCACCCCGAGGCTTTTGCGAATGGGGCGGCATATAAGTGTTCCAAATAAATGAATAAATAAATCTATACATGCCCACTTTAAATGGAATTAGCTCTGTGCTCCTCAGAAGCAGCAGGAATTCTTAACAAAAATCCCTTTAAAACAAACAAGCAGAGGCTTGCATGGAAACAATTGCTTTAGAATACAGTTTTAAGTCCAACAAACCTGTCCATAATAAGTCCATGCGGAATGTAGACTTTTTCCAAATCTTCTGCATAATGTTTTGGTATGCAGAACAAGTCTAGGTCATAACCTTGTTCATCATCTCCAATCTAAAAGGAAAACAGAAAAGGTGAGGTCAGGTGCAGTTTACTACACGTCCCTCCAGAGATCAGAAACTTAAAAGAAAGCCTCATAATCTAGGATTACTGCAAAATTCAAAGCTATAATCCACTGGCAGGGTTTACACTCTGCGCACATCAAATCCTAGAGGCTGATCCTTGGCTTTTCCTGCTAAATGATCTCAGGGTGCAGAGTGTATCTTTTAACCAATCAGCATACATGACAGGAAAAGATGCTTTATTGCACACACTTTCGTGAAAGTATCACTAAAAAGGTCTGATTTAGAATATTTGCTGCTACTCAGAGACCTATGTAACCCCATAGACCTCATGTCCTGCCTTTCCTTAATCCTAAACTCAACCCACTCCTGGAGAAATGGACCAGCTGAAGGCATCAAGGAAATACTGCTTTCCAGCTTTGAGGTAGGGATCACTGTTCTGGATATGGGAAACAACACAAGTAAAGGTACAGCAAAGGACTGAGGGGAGGCAAAAAATTGCAGAGATCTTTTCCTAACAAGGTTTGAGAGCATCTGGTTTAGTGAGACGTAAAAGCTTAAGCCATAGTGACGATATCTGTTTGAGAGTGTGAGTGAAGATATAATACACGACAAAAAAACAGAACACTTTGCAGCAGAAGCATCTCCTAACCAAGCAAACAAGCCACATTCGACACACACAGCAGAAAAAAGCAGTGCAAAGGGACCAAGCAATACCTGAAAAATTAGGTAGCTCCCCAAGGCTCGGTCATGAGAGTAACACCTGAATTTCATTTAGCTGCAGTTCTATGCATAAGCCCCCTTCAAGAAGCCACAATATTTGCAAATTAGGGCTTATGCAGACCAGGGAGTTCTTTCAACAGAAATCTGTTACGTTGTATTTATTTTTAATGTTTATAAGCCATGACCCTCTGCTTCAGGCAACACCTAAAGAGGCATAACCACCAAATGAAAAAATGAAATTGTGATCCAATATGACTAAAAATGGCTGATAATCCAAGTTTAAGTGGAGGCAAGTGACTACTCTTTATACCCAGCGGGGCAGAAATCTACTGGTAGAACTCTGGGTGATTTGCAGAAACCCGTTCCTTAATTCTCAAGAGTTTGTCCACCCTTCACAGCCTGCAGTTTGCACCTGGCTCTGGTTGATTGACTTGGTTTTTAATAGAGCTGCGAGATCAATCTCACAAACCTAACGTTGGCTCACCACTGCCTTGCAGTGCTAGAGAGACATCGATTTAATATATATATAAATTTGGGGTTGGGGAAGGGAAGCAATCCCGTTCCCCAAAACAAGCCCTCCTTGTTTTTAAATTTCTGCTGCCAGTGTGCTTCCTAGCAGCAACAGACAATGAGATAAGGAATTCCTTGTTGTCAAAGTCTCTTGAGGGCTCACTGAAGGTACAAACAACCTACATGTCTGCATAGCTAAGACAGATGTACTTTTGTACACTGTCTTTGGGAGGAAGAACTAAAACCAGGCCTCTTCCTAAGAAGCCACACTACTGACACCCACTTTGTAGGAAGAAGCTAAATCCACCAATCATAACTAGAGGCTGAAATTTGCTTTTGACGTCTCACAGAGAGCTCAGCACTCCGTGTAAATACTGCCGTGACAGCAACATTTCAGATTTCTCAGGCAATATATACACAACCATGTTGTGTCTGTGTTCATTATTATGTTCCTCCAAGAACATTTTGCTTGCCTTTCCAGACTATATTCTATCTGCTGGAGAAAGAATTTCTAGCTGAGCAGAAAAGAAGGGGGAAATGAAAACACATGACCCTTGTATGGAGGATCCCTGGTTCTGTTTCTTAAATTTCAGTACCTAACATGTGAGAAATAGCTGGCTGAAGCCTAGCAAAATCAGGCACATGCCAGAAATGCCCTTGAAACCTTGGGCATTGCTTGTCTTAACATGTGCTTGGTGAATGCAGGCTTACTAGGAAGTTATTTCAACAGTTTAATGGGTTAAAAGCCTAAATATGGGCTTCACATATATTTTAGTCTGACAAGATTGTGTGCATTTGGTGTGGTTCAAGATTTGTTTTATAAATTATCTCAGTTTCAGGTATCCATGCCAAGATGAGTTCTTTGTTCTATCCACATCTAATCATCAAACCCCAGAACACACAAGGGCCTTTAGGATGATACTCACAACCTGATCCTTTTTCCCGCAGGTATTTTTGTTCCCAAACTTATGCAGTCTACCACAGCAATTAATGCTCTTCCCCTTTCTGAAAGAAACTGGTACTCCCATATTCAAACTTCATCTCAAAATTGTAGGGGTCTAGATTCTTATTATTTATTTATTAACAATAATTATACCCCAGCCTTTACAAGACATTCCAGGAGATTCTCCATCCTCTTAGCATCCCTTGAGTCCTGTCCAACCAAATCCAACATTTGCAGTCATGTCCAGGACATCATCCTTCCCACTGTTTAACATGTCATATTTTCCAGAACACATACTTTGCTTCCTCTCCCCACCTCACGTCAAACATGCCAAAAGCAAGCCTTTTCTTCCAAATCAAACTTAATAGAACTTGCAAATGCTTACCCAAGTCCCTGCCTCTTGATATTATCACTCTTGATGCATTTTTTGTTTTGCTTATTATATTTTTAATCTCTGGATTTTGCTTGTTTTGTACATACCTCTCTGTTACAATATGAAAATTGGGGTTATTCATTTTTGTAACACGTACATACATGCTGTGGTTTGCTCAAGTTTATCTTACTCCTTAAAACAACTTTCAGAAACCAGATACTCTCCAAATATGTTGAACTATTTCTACCATCTCTTGCTGGCATGGTCAATAATGGCTCCATTAGATGCAGATGACCAGGGTTGCAATTTGGAGGGAATTAGGTAAGCAACTGCATCCTGAAATTGTAAATGTATAGGGCCAGGTTGTAATGGAGGCCACGTAAAGGAAGGTACTCTGAACATGCCTAGAGATGTGCTTGTCATTGCCACATATCTCTTAGGAGTCTGCTATACTGGAGCAGATTCTGGGGGTCTCTTCTGCCAATTAAATTGGGGTGCAAGCTTATGCATGTTTCCACCGAAAAAGGTCCTACATTTCCAAGCCTCCTCTCCACTCTTTATCATCACAGCCCTACAGGTTGCAAGGAGCTGCAAGCCTCAGCCTGGTTCCAACGCATTCCTTGGCCCCATCCATCATCCAGGCTTGAACTCCCAAAATGCAACCAACCTTTTCCCAGGTGAGCTTCCAGCAACGTTATTTTCTTCCTCCCCTCCCGGAGCTTCAGCCCCTTATTTTCCTGCGGGGGGGGGGGCGGCCCTTCCCAACACTTTTGCAGCGCTGAGGTCCAAATTAACCCTTCCATTCCCCCCACGCTTACTGTGGGGGAATGAGCCCCCCTCCCTCGTGTAGCCTGGGGAGGGCAAGCCGAGGCGCCCGTCCAGCCTCCCACTCCAAGCCTCCTCCGCATGCTTGCCCCCACCCCGGCAGTTTCAGCCCCCTTACGACTGTTCCGTGCGGGGGGCAGCCGCGCCCCGATCGCTTTGGCCCCCGAGTCCTCAACACACCCCTCCCCTCCTGCCTCCCCGCGGCCCCCCGGAGGGGGAGCGGGCGCCCCGCCTGCCCCCCGCGCGGGAGACCCGCTTCTGGAACCTTCGGCGCCCCCACGCCGCACCCGGCGAGGCCGAGGCGGCCCGGCCCGGCCCCTCGGCGCGGCTCCCCTCGCGCGGCCTCACCACG